TTTCGATTTTCCTTAATACATGTTTAATTTGATGCACAAATGGCTTAATCCGGATTTCAAATGTGGTACTGTATGTTTTTTTAATCGCTGAACACGATGTAATAGTACATTTAACCCTACGATATACGCCTTAAGAAATACAGCCCGATTAATGTGAAAAAAATGATACAATTTGAACGCTTGGGACCTTGCTAAAATCGACCTTAAACTCGAAATTTGGTCATTTTTTCACATTAATCGGGCTATATTTCTTAAAATGTATATCGTAGGGTTAAATAAACTATTGCATCATGTTCAGCGTTTAAAAAAAGATACAGTACCACATTTGAAATCCGGATTAAGCCATTTGTGCATCAAATTAAACATGTATTAAGGAAAATCGAAACTTTGATTTAAAAATCGTTTACTAGCGACCTCTAAATCTTAATATTTTTTATAAAAATTTAGGGGTATTCTTTTGGCATAAAATGGAAGCTTTTGAACTAAGTGGCCGATAAAAAAAAATTTTTTTTCCTTGGCAGTTTAATATATATATATATATATAGAAAATGAAGGTTTTTAATTAAATTGAATCTAAGAAGTTTTTCCATTCAATCAAATCTAAAAAAAGTGAAAATAGGCCGTAAATGCTACTAAAGTACACATTCGGGTAGATTCAAATGGATTAATTTCAATTCATTTTAATCTATTCTCATTTACTGAGTCTCCAATCATTGCCACCAAGATATCGATGAATATCAAGGCTGCGTTCCACTTAACGCTCGCAACGCTTGCGAGCATCGTTTGTTCTTACTTAACATGTGATAAACGACAAGGATGAAATGATTCCACGAGCGTTGTGAGCGTTAAATGGAACGCAGCCCAAGTTATATAAAAATGCGGAAAATAAATTCTTCGAGAGGTAATAATTTTTAGATAGTGAATGCAGTAGAATTAATCATTGAAATTAAATAAAATAATAAATAGATAGAAATAATCGTGCAATTAATAATTTCTGTAACCTGTTGCTAACGAATAAAAAGAACTTGAGATATATTCATCTTTTAAAAATATATTTTGTAAGTTTTTGAAGAGAGAATTTTTCTTTGCGTTGAACATGTTCAAAAGACGCAAAAAATATAGGTGGTCAAC